GGACAGCGTAGCTGCAGGATTAATGCAGCCTCTCTCTTGGTGGTCTTGCTAATTGCACAGATGCAGCGCATTGTAAACTAGGGGACCCGGTCTCCCACTAATGCACTGCTGGGCAGCACGACCTCAGGTTTTTTCAGAGCTGAAACCTCGACTAACCTCTAATGAGGAGGCGACATTGGGGAACTTTGTTTTCTTGGCAGAGCACTTGGAGATAAAGGGAGATGGGGAAGGGGGGCTAATGAAGTCCAGATGTGGGCAAACCGAAGCCTGATCCTGAATAAACAAGTCCTGGGGGTACTGAGCTCTTCTTCTTGTCTTTCCAGCAAGAGATTTGCATAGGGTACAAAGTGTGTTCCCATGCGCCTCACAGAGCATGCTCATGATTTGGGGGAAGTAAATAGATAACTTTCCTTGCCCCACAGATCCTCCGAGATCGTCTGGCCTAACGCTTCAGGCTTTCTCCCTACGACAGAAGGCCTCTGATAGTTTTTACAAATGTGTACTGAGCACCACGGCCTGTACCCTGTAGTAGCCAAGACAGGGATTTTCTGACACCATCCTGGACATTACCCCTACTCTGCACAGCTAACAGCTAAGTAGACGGGTAAGATAACTTGCCACTGGGACCACTAGGACAGAGGAGGGCCGGGCTTCTCTAGGACCTTTGGAAGGTAGAGAGGAGAAAACCAAGGAACGCTTCCTGAAGACACTTGCCCAGTGTTTATTCAGTACCTACCATGCCATACAGGAGGAGACCCACCCTCGGCCTTGCAGGAGGCTGTCATCTTGCTGGGGAGAACCCCACACAGGGAGTGTGCAGTAGTGATGCCCCTTGCCACCAGGCCACATGCACCTCACTGGGGTGGTGGGCATGGCCAAATCCCCAGCACCTGGACACCAGAGGTACTAGACAAACAACCGCCCACGGAAGGTGCAAGGCCGCAGAAGACAGCCGTGGTGCCATCACTTTAAAAGCCCTGATTTTAGAACCAGGACACCTGGTCAGGCCTTCTCTGCCCTGGGAGAATCACTGAAAATCCCTGTCTCAACGCCAACAAGCAACCTCCAGGATGACTACCAGGTGCAAGAAAGAGGCTGTGCGCACAGAGGCAAGTTTTGCAGTTTTGTAAACTGCAACACTGCAGAAACGAAAGGGACAGGTCTTAGGGATCTCACTCGTGACATCATGGAGTCACCAAGCTAGCGTCACCTGCCCTACAGAAAAAGGAAGGGGCTAAGTGGCTTGTCTGAGGTTCTTCAAGGGCAAGTGAAAGAATCAGGGAGCACAAAGTAAGGGCGTGATGATACCAAAGTCTGAGCCTACTCCTTAGTAAGGAACACGACTACAGGGGTCAGGTTCAAGCCGGATCCTGGAGGGAAAGGAGTGCGTTCATTGCTACAGGGAGAGGGAGATTCACACATAACACACCTGTGTGATGGTTCCTCAATATTAAGAGTCTATGTAGACCACTTTAGGGGATCGGCCCAAGGCTAGCACTGAGCCCATGCTTATCCAAAACGAATGCTGAGCATTTCTGCTGTATTAAAATCTTCGTCCCTAAAACTGAATAGTGCAATTCACGGCCCACATGAGAAGAGGTTGGCGAGGAGATGGTATTTTATTGTCTGCGCCTAATCTCACTGCTGCTAGAGTCATTAAGCCTTTGTAAGGCAGGGATAGGAACCACTGCTTTGTGGACTTGGAAGGAATTCCTATTATGCTATAATTCCAGAATCTGAGCTACATCTGAAAAAGAGGTCAAAATGACTAGGTTTTTCCACAAGTCCTGCCACAGAAAGGTGTCTGCTTTCTCTATAATGTCTGAAGGTTTGCATCACTAAACCGCACTGGTCTCCTCCGCTGCCACTCCATGCCTTTGTTGTGGGGACTGTCCAAGCTGGAGCCAGGGCAGCCACATGAGGCCAGGTCTCCCTTACTGTATTCAACAAACCTGACAATCGACAGGAGAAGGCCCAGGGCAGCAAGTAGCAGGATGATGAGATTCCCAGCTCTGCAGCCACCCGCTACTACAACTGTCACTGTCGCTCAGACCCTTGGATCAGATGCTGCTTCAGGTTAAGCCAGCCGCTACCAGGGGGCGGGGATGGTTGTTGTTGCTGTTATTTAGTCAAATGACTTTTCCAGAACTAAGCATACCAAAGTGAACTATTTTTAGCCTGACTATTTTTATCAGATGTGTTATCTTGGCTAAGTCACTCTGCTTTTTAACTGTTTACTCATTTGTAATAAAGACAATAAACATTTACTGAGTGGACGGTAGGTACCAGCACTGAGTTCCAACAGCTCATTTCTCCCTCGAAAGCTTAGTTAAGCACGCATCTCTCCAATGCACAGGTGAATCTACTGAGGCTCCCTGAGGTTAACTATCGCCCCTCACATTGCATAGCAGAGGCATTCACATCTGGGCCAGAAGAGACGCCTTTTACCCACACCACACTGAGGACACAGAGTACCTAGCACTTAGGGTTTCTTCAAGAGCAAAGACCGTGCCAGCATGACCATGCGCTCCCACAGCACACAGCACTCACTGAGGCGTTTTCCTGCCTGGTGTTTCTCTGAACTGTAGAAAGGCCCTAACTAAACCTATTTTGCTGACCTTGTATGGAGTGGAGAAACAACATCACTGCTTATCCTCTAACCAAGGCAACAGTATATGACTGTCTTGAGGAAACCCAGGAACTCGGGAACATTTTAATCAAAACGTCAACGAAACAGAAGAAAGCAGAAGCCACCACCAAGCTGTTAAGAGGAGGTTTTTTCTTAAGATACACTGGCATCTACAGAAAGCACACGGCAGAGAAACAGCTGCCGACTAGGGGTTCTGCTCAGGAAGAGAAGCGTGGCCCTTGGAAAGTGCTACCTTAATACTGCCTTTGGCAGTCGTGGGCCAGCTGAGGGCCCCAGAGCCCCTCCTCTCTGTACCTGGTGCCTGCAGGTCCCATCCCCACACAGGTGCAGGGTGTGCATTCAGGCATTACAGCATGTGATTCTTACGGCAATCCCTCTGAGGACTGCCAACACCACTCCCATTTTACAGAAGAAAACCAAAGATTCACCTAATCCACATGGAAAAGGTGCCTAATTCTCCTTGCCACTGTGCTATGCCTGGAAGCAGCACACTCACTAGGCAAGCAGGGAATAATGCCCTGTGGAGAGCAGGAAGAACATGTGACATCCGGGTTCCAGCGCTAGGCGCGCGCTGTCCTTATCTCCCTGCATTCCTGAGTTATAACTCACTCCCTTGAAGCATTCAATTCACTGATGCTCCAGCTGTCAAAACACCTGCTCCAACCTTAGCACAAGGTACCATGCAGTTCATTGCTTTCAGGACAAACACCTTTTCCAGGAAAAGCCATTCTTCTAGAGAACTCAATTCCACAACTGTCAACTGGGAGCAAAATCAGACTTTTCCCTTTTTGAACACAAAGATTTCAACTGGGAGGAAAATCAGACTTTTCACTTTTTGGACACAAAGATTCTTAGTTCACCTTTAAGAAACTTCTACAGTTGCCAAATGGACTGTTTTTCTTTTAAAGGTTGGAAAAAATTCTCCCATTCCTCCTTCCCCCTCCCCGAATTCAAACTGTTGATTGTGTGCCTGGTTTACGATGTTATTAAAAAACAAAGAGGGGTCTCAAAGTTTACAACCAGCCCCCAGAGTGGGTGTCAAAAGAAAAGCTGCACGCAGTGTGTGGTTGTGGTTCATATAATATCAGCAGCTCAGACTTAATCCAAAGTAGGCAAGATAAGCTGACTGCCTATTCCTTGAGCAGTTCAAACCTAAGTCTGGAAAATGCAAAGGGGACTTTGAAATGAGCTAAGCACAGGCTTTATTAACTCCAGTTTTCACTAGCTATAGACATTAAGCACATCATTTAACCCCCATGAGCTTTAGACTTCCCATCTGCATAATGGGGCTAAGAATATTTATTTCATATTTAGTGTTGTTGATACTAACAACCTTCCTCCTTGGCTTCCTCATGCAGGCCAAAGATAAGTCTCCAGCCTAGCCTGAACAAAAAGGTGGTTCAAGCAAGAGTATTTATGATCCTAGTAGGCATGCTGCCTATCCCTTTCACCCATACGGCAAAGGTTCAAGGGCAGAGGATAAACTTAGCAAATACAGGGGGTATGTAATGGACAGGTGTGAAAATGGAGGACTCACAAATTATAAGCTGGTTTTTAATCACCCTCCCTCTTCCCTCCCCAATGCCCACGAGGCCACCTTTGCTCAGAATAATTCTAGACCATCTCTGCAATGAGGGCTTCCCCCTTTAAGGGAAGTCTTGCATACGTGAGCCTGGACTTTACTCCACACATGAATCACCTGCTCAGCAACTAAGAATCTGCAATGCATGGTAATATTCATGCTCTCGCTACACCTTATTACAACACTGGAAAGCAGGTGAGACATTGCTGGTTGTCAGGTGGACGGCCTGTGACACTGGCGGGCCTGATCTAGAACCTGTATCTCTGGATTCCAAGTTCTATTTACTTTGATACCACAGCCACTTGGCAGGAGAACCAAACAACATACCAGAGAATATCAGTGGCCTCATCACTATTTCTGCAGCGCAAGGAAGGTATTCAGGGAACACAGAAGATAGCTGGGGTAGTCAGAAGTTAATCCCTCCTCTCTAGGGCTCAGACTCTAGGGTAAGAGATAGTTCAGTTCAAATGTCAGCATTATACCCTCTTAACCAAGTGATCTTTGGAAAATTCCTTAATTTCTTAAGGAAAATGGAGCTTCATTTCTTAAACTGCACAAGAAAGAGAAGAACAATATCTAGACTTGATTGGATTGATTGATGGAAAATAATTTAGAAGGTATGTCTACTGCATAGGAAGTACTGGCTTTCAGGAACAGTACTAGCTGCGTAATGAAATTCTGCTTGGTCGTAGACAAGGTCAGCTTCACTGGCTTGTTACATCTTCGTTGGCCAATATCACCTACGATATCACAATGCAGGTCACTTACTGCGAGGATGGCAATCACGATCCCCACCGCACAGAGCACAGCATCATTGATGGTCTCCCCGACTTTCAGCGGGTACTTGATGCTCTCGTCGTTGCAGTAAAATCCTCGGCGATAAGGCTTGATGGTGCTCGTCTCAATGATGAGGAAGGGCAGGCTGGCTGGAACCACGCACATGTGGGAGGGGGGAAGGAGAAAACAGAAAACATCAAGGCAAGGAAGCAGAAGAGTAGCAACCTACAGCAAAGACAGTCCCAAACCGCAGTAATGGGGATGCTGATTCATTTATAGCCATCTACAGCCTACAGAGGTCACTCGCTACATGCATCTCCTCTCCTTCTTTCTTTTTCCTATGAGGAAAGGGTCACTATCTTCTTTTCTTGCTCAAGTGCTCAGAAGGAGGTCGTGGAAGAGTCAAGGCAGAGATGTCCACCATTCCACAACATCCTGCTAAAAATTAAAGCTTTGTTTGTAATAACCGCTAACGTAGCCCCAAAGCTAATGATGCCCTGTTTTGCCTCCACGGGCATTTGTTTCCTAGCAACCCCCTTCAGCTCCCCTTGGGAGGCTCAGCCAAAGGCCAGGTTGCATGGACTAGTGCAGGCTGAAGAGTGAGAGAATCTGGAGTTCTAGATCCCCCACTTTCTAGTGGTGTGACCTCACCCATTTCTGTGAGCCTCAGTTTCCCCACAGCCAAATGAGATGCAGCAATGATAAAGAAGACTAACATCTGTAAAAGCTCAGCACGGTGCACAGGAGCTGCGGGTGAATGTCATCCTGAAGCCCTTGCTTTCTTTCACTGTTCAGGGTCAACAAGTAGAGTTGAGCAGCTCTGAGCTCAACCCAGCTGTCGAAGGGCTGGACAGGCGCCCAAGGGCACTGAGGGCACCACGCGGCTCTGGCAGCTGCTGCTGGCTATCAGTGCCATTCTCTCAAAGGTCATGGATTCCATCACCTGCCCCGAAAAGTCCCTCAGAACTCTGAAGTGAAAAGTGAATTCCATAAGGACTCCTATCCAGACACCACTGTAGCTTCCTGACTGGTTTCCTAGCTCTCAGTGCCTCCTGCATGTATCCACCCGCTTACTTCCTGAGGAGCCCCGATCATGGGCATGGTACCACCTTGCTGAAGCATTAGCAAGGATGCCCACTGTACAGGATGAGATAAAGCATCTGTGCCTAAACTCTCCTCGCCAGCCTCCAGGTCTGCTGCTCCTCTTCACCCCGCAAGAAAACAGTCCACAGGGATGGTGTCTTGCTTTGTTCCTGTTCCCCTAGACAGATACTTTTCACTGTCCTTTACTCAAGGTCAACGCCAGACTCCAGTGCCACCTCACAGAGGGAGAGGGCTCAGACCTTCACTAAATGTCATGACGAGGGAAGACTATAAAAAATCTTGGTGATCACCATCACTGTGCCCGAACAATGCATTAGGCACTCCTATGTGTTTCCGTATTAAATCTTTTGATAAGGATCACTTAAACATGCCTTCCTCATTGTCAAATGAAGCCTCTGAATACTTAGTTCATTTGTGGCCTCTCAACCCATGTCTTCCACACCTAAATCCCTAATTTAACTTTGCAAATTGGTCTGTCCAAATGCGAAATTCATTAGCTGAAAAATCCCAAGATAAGCAGTTGTTTAAAAGATAAAGCTCCACCTCGTGTTTTTCAAAGAATTAAATTCATGTCACGTTGCTCAAAGCCCTAGACCATGTCCAAAAAAGAAAAAGTACCACGAATGCCACAATTTTTCAATTACTTTGGTCCAGACCGGCAGCGATAAAAACGCTCACTTTCTAAAGAGTGTATTTATGTATCACTGTGCATACGCACATGGATTTATTTGGTTTTATTCTTTTGGATTTATTTGAATTCTACGGCTATTTATTTTGTGACCCCTAACTGCTTCCTGCTAGAACAACAATTTACTTTATCAAATTCATACTGGCGCTTTGAAAAGAAAGAGCAGCAACACACCACGGTATTGTGCCTGACCTTCTCAAAGTAAACACAGAGGGGCCCTGAAAGGCAATAACCATTAACTTTTGAAACTCTGTCTCTGCCTTGGAGTAGCCGGGGAGGGTGAGCAGCTGAAAGTCTCAGCTTAGAAGTGACAGGAGTCAGCTGATCTTTTGGGTGGGGGACGTGGGAAAGCTATCTTATGGGTTAGAATGATCTTCAATCTATAGCCTAAACATTTTGGAACATGACCAAGTTGGCTATGAAAAGTAGTCAAGAAGCCAGCAGTCTGATATTAATAGTCTGCTTTTAAAGTTCCACACATCGTGATAAAAATGTTTAGCTGCAAGTCCGAACTGGGCCGCAGCCTCTAAGGTGCCTGGAAGTCAAAGCGTTGCTAATAAACCCAGGAAGGGAATGGACTCCCCATGCCTCACATTTGTACTACACTCTGAGACCTCCAGCTTCTATTTTTAATAGTGCTCCCATGATGGGCCTGTAAAACATGTGTTTCTGAGGACAATAAAACACATATAAAAGAGCTTTGGAGTTAGAACTCACTTAATGATCTTGGTTCTACTCCCTGCTACTCGAGCAAGTGACTTCACATCGCCAGAACTCCCTTTCTCATCTGTTCAGCGGAAGAAATGGATCTAACTCAAGGATGGTTGGGATGGTACCAGCTGATGTGTTTTTGAGTTCATTCATTTCTTCAACAAATATTCATTGACTCTTCACTATGTTTTTATGAAGTCCAATCATAACACAAGATGTCCCAGACCTGACCTCAGGGAGCTTACAGTCCAGTCAGGAGATACAGAGAATAAAACTGAGTCCAGGAAGCGTCAGTTGGAGAAATTCAAGGCAACAACACTGGGTAACATCAGCGTTTGAGGCACAGTACGAACACTCAGTGCAAACAGGGAGGAGGCGGCCCACAGAGATGGCTGGGAAAGAAAAATCTGTCTGGTCAGTTCCTCTGCCTTCTCTTAAACTGGGATCCATCCAAACCCATTTTCTTCTTTCTTTGCCTATGGCTTAGGGGTGGTTTCCGGTTGTGATTATGTGAATGATGACCACAAAGAGACAAGAAGCAGAATCTGAATATATTGTTTATTTTCTTGAAAGGCATGGAGAGAGCATTTAGAAAACCCAAAGGCTTTTTCTGTCTCGCCTACAAATCTGTGGCATTACTGGCGTGATGCCAGTCAAATCTTGGCTTTGCTCCAGGACGAGGGTAACTTCAGATCCCCTTCAGCTGATGGGCGATTATAAACACTCCCAACTGGGCAGCTGGTCCCCAAGAGACACAAGACCGTGTTTGGCTACTGCAAGTCTCAGGGAAGGGGCTGCGCTCTTCCAAAGTGGTGTATCCATTTTCAACCCTGACACCATCTTGATTTCTACACCCCCGTTCACTTCATCTCTGGAAAGTTCCCGGTGCTGGGCAGTGGGAGGCTAGAAGTGAACCTAGCACAGCACCTTTCCTGGGAACTTGGTGTTGTAAGGAAGTCACAAACACAAATGCACCAGGAAATATCTAGTGTGATCACTGATGTCTGGGAGATTGTAGTAAAGGCACAAAAAAACCACTCTGCAAGAATCACATGGGGGATGGGAGCCCAAGTTGATCCTTCCATAAGTAAGAGAGGTTTTTGAGACCCAAAGACTAAGCACATTCATGAAAAAAATCAGTGTAGTTCAGAGACACCGACAATGGAAGTTGCAAAATGTTGGTAATTATAAAAACATACTTTTAAATTTCGCTACAGAGCTGGAAGAGAAATACAAGTAGATGATAAAGAGGAGAAAGGGAAACATGGCACAAAGACTAATAAGAGCTAATGTTTACTGAACAACTACTACGTACCCAAACTGAGCATGTGCCACATACACTACTGGGTCTGACAAACCTGGCTACCTACCGTCTTCAGGCACTGCCTGGGAGACGGACATAAAAGAGGCTAAATCCCAACTTTCGAGTGGCCCAAAGGCTAATAGGAGAAACAGTCATAAATCTAATAGGTTAAGCCACCTTTAAGATTCAGGGAGATTAAAGTGTTACCAGAGTCACTCAGCAAGTAAGCAAAGAAGCTGGATGGGATTCAAATGATCTGATTCTAAACCCTGGTGCTTTTTGAAATGAGTCACTTAAAACACAGAGAAGGAAGCACCTATGAGTATTAATAAATTAGATGAAGTTCAGTAACTCCCATGACCTCTACAAAAAAAAAAAAATTGGAACACTCAAGGCAGGAGCACTAGCTAATGTTCCCTGAACAGCCACCCTGTACCACACACGCGCTAATTAGATACACACGTATCTAATTTAATCAAAACTCTGAAGCCAATATCCTGGAATTTTAGATTTATTAATAATAAATGTGCATTATGGGCTTTTTACAAAGCAGAGCCAAAAAATAATAATAATCTGGTGGCCCTAGAGCCAGATTCAAGCATTTCTTCTTCTTTCAATCAGGGATCAATTAACTTTCTATACCTCCAGGGACTCCTTGGGATGTGTAGGCTGCAGAGGTGGCGAAATACGAACTCACTGACAAACACTTAATGGGCAGAAAATCAAAGCATGAAGAAAGGCCCCTGTGTTGGGTTCAGGCCTTTGAAACTTCTCCGGCTTTGAAAACCTAACACTTGGGCAGGTTGGGTGGTTTGGGGGTGGGGCATAAAAAAACATAGGGTAAGTTTTCGTGGCCCACCCATTGATAAAGTCATGTGGGAAGTGTTACCAGAGTGACCCAGCCACAAAGCCCTGCTCCCTGCAGCCTTGACTTCACATTTGCACAAAATTAAACACAGCCTCCTTCTCTGAAAGTGCTTTTCAGAAAGCCCTTGGCGAGGGAGATGTGCATGGGGGTGGGGTGGGAAGGTGAAGGAGAAACGGTTGCACCTTCTGCATGAGCAGCCATCTGAGAAAGGACTTCATCTTTCCGAGACACCCAGTCCTCAGAGGCCTTTTCCAAACACTGTCCAGTCTTCTACCCTAACTAATCTGTAGTTACCTTGAAATAAATAAGTAGAGCCTAGGCTCTTGAAGAGTAATAATTACACTGGATCTGCAGAACGCTGTGTACCTACCCACAAAATAATATGGGGTACAGAACCCACAGGCAGACATCTGGTGTAACGTAATTGCTCAAGTCAGGCAGCTCCTAGGACTTGAGGCAGGAACCTCATCTATCTTACCTACAGTGCTGAGCTATGAGTAGGTTCTGTTCTACACTTCGCAAGCGAGAAAACTGGAGGTAAGAAAGGTCAAGCAGTTCACCCACAGTGCAGAACCAGAAAACAGGGCTGACTTGGGCCAGATATCAGAAGTACAGGTAGAAGATACCAGGGTTCTTCTTTCAAGAGACTGAGAGTCTAATTAGGAATTAACTTAATCTCCATAATAGCTATGAAAAGTTGTGGGTCATTATTTTCATCTGTAACTAACAAAAAACAGAGGCCAGAATTTGTATGTCTCCTGGGTTCCTCAGTGAAGAAACGGGTGACTGGGATTTGAACCCAGGTCTATCATTCTGTTGGTGCATGTTTTTTTCCTCCCTGACCTGACCCTCCCCTTTCTTTATAAATGTACTCCCTGTTAAAATATGACCAACTGACTTTTTTAAAAAATCACTTAAGGTCAGAACGGTCAACCCAACTACTACTTAGAGGTTCAAAATACAAATATTTATGTTGCTCATAAGTGACAGCGTTTCTATTTAAAGTAATTAATTGCTACTGGTCTTAGAAGTGTGCAAACTTTCTTTGGTTTACGATATTTGTCCAGATTTTTAAGCTGGACACAATCCAGATGGCCACAGTTCGGTTTACTATGAAGGCGTCTCTTCACCTTGGGAAGAGACTGCCATGAAAAACACTTGCTGTTGGCCGGGGCAAACATGCAGTATTCTGGAGCTACAGGGTTCCCTTGACAAATGCTCATTCTTCAGTGCTAGAAAGTTCAGGCCCTATCTTCACCAAAAGAAGCCTGCCAGAACCAAAACCAGCCACCTGGGGGAAACAGAGAAACTAGTCTTGGGATGTGCATCCCCCTCAAGTCCAAAATCTATTTCAACAATCAGGAAGAGACAGTTCCTGAATAGCAGGCACTTGCATTGGGTGGTAGAGACACAAAAATGAGCACGGAAGTCCTCACACTGCACACAATCCCTCACTTTCAGAAGTCTCAGGTCCCCAAAGAGAAGCCTATCTTTGGTTTGATCATGGCCTTTCTCAGTTGAAATGGCCTAGAGTGAAATCATTTAATTCTTTAATTAACATGAACCTTATGCAAACCTCCTCCAATGCTGATTGTTTAAACCTCTTCAGTGGGATTTTTAAAAGGCTACCACATTCACCTGGAAACACCTTGTCTGTACCTTTCACTGAGAGAGCCCCAGGCCTCTCTTATCACCATTATACATTTCACAGATGAGAACTCTATTTCCAGTAAAACTCCCAGAGGCAACAGGATTAGACCATCACACCTGTGGTGAAGCTAAATGACTTCCCAAGATCTCTTTCCTCTCTTTCAATTCCTCTTTGAACAGCGATGGTAATAAATGTCCATTCCCTAGTCAAAAGTTTTGTATATATTAACTATTTAACTCTCAAAACTCTCCCCTAAATTAATCATTAGTATATAGCTGAGGGTCAGAGAAGCTGTCATGTGTCTAGGTCCACACTGCTGCTAAGAAGAACAGCCAGGATCTGTAACAGAACTGTCCAGCTCTGAAGTCCCTTTGGACTCAAGGCCGCCTCGCCTTTCTTGCTAATACACACGAACAATGTCTACACATCGGTGGCACAAATGTGTTCAATGGCAAGACCCGGGCCGCTGCAAGCATCACATGTGTGTGCCGCACTTCACAGCTCTTACATCATCTCATTCGATCTTCTTAACACCCTTGTGAAGGGATGTTTTTACCATCTCGTTAAGTATCACTCACAAACTCCTACTGATTCTTCAAGAATAATCTCTTCTGCGCAGGATTCATTTAGCCACGCCATGCCCACTGACAGCGCTGGCTGGTCCTTTTTTTGCCCAGCATATTAAGAACTTCAAGTCAAACACATGGATTTCACATCCTACTTCTCCCACCTGTCAGGCTTGCTGCATGAGCTTGGGAAAGCCATATTGCTTCTCTGAACTTTATTTTTAATCCTCATACAACAGGACTTTGTACAATAGCTCTCAATATACAGAGTTGATTGCCAGGACTGAAATACAGTGTATAAACTATCCTGTACTTGCCTGGCTCAAAAAATACTAGTTCTTGCTCCTGTGTGGGACAGGGAGCCACTTGAAGCTTAAAGCAAGAGGTAAGCTGTGATCAGAGTTCTTGCCCAAGTTCATTCAAGCAGCTATGGGCCCACTGGCCACTTCCCAAATGCAATCTGATCCCTA